AGTGCTCCTCAAGGGGAGCCCCATGTAGAGAGCGTTGCAATAGTCCAGGCAGGAGGTGACGAGGGCATGAGTGACTGTGTGTAAGGAGTCCCGATCTAGAAAGGGACGCAACTGGCGAATCAGGCGGACCTGATGAAAAATCCTCCCGGTCACGGCCGTCAAATGCTTTTCTAAAGACAGCCGTGAATCCAGGATGTCGCCCAAGTTGCGAGCCCTCTCCGTGGGGGCCAGCGATTCACCCCCAGTAGTCAGTGATGGTGCCAACTGACTATATCAGGACATCAGAAACCACAGCCACTCAGTCTTGGATGGGTTGAGCCTGAGGATGTTTCTCCCCATCCAGATCTGCACGGCCTCCAGGCACCGGGACATCACTTCAAGGGCATCGTTGGGGTGGTCCGGGATGGAGATATACAGCTGAGTGTCATCAGCGTACTGGTGGTACTTCACCCCGAAACCACAGATGATCTCGCCCAGCGGCTTTACATAAATGTTGAACAAAAGGGGCGAGAGGACCGGCCCTTGTGGCACCTCACATATGAGAAGCCTCGGGGTCGACCTCTGTCCCCCTGTCAACACAGACTGCGACTGGTCAGAGAGAAAGGAGGAGAACCACCGTAGTACGGTGCTTCTCACCCCCAACTCTTCCAAACAGTGCAGCATGATACCATGGTCGATGGTATCAAAAGCCGCTGAGAGATCTAATAGGACCAGGACAGAGGAGCAACCCCTGTCCCGAGCTCTCCAGAGATCATCAACCAACACGACCAATGCCGTTTCTGTGCTGTACCCAGGCCTGAAGCCCGACTGGAATGGATCCAGATACGTCATTTCATCCAGGTGCTGGGGGAGCTGTCGCGCAACCACACTCTCAACAACCTTCACCACGAAGCGAAGGTAAAATGAGGACCCAGTTTGTGGGAGCAATAAGCTGACTTTGTATAAAATATACAAAAAGTATGAAGGCTATTGCTTAACGCATTGTAAGCCACCCTGAGTCACCGGAGAAGGGCGGCATATAAATCAAATTAAAAAAAAAAAATAGGGCTAGGGCTTATTTTCAGGGTAGATGCTATTTTGGGGGGAAACAAAGTAGTGTCAATAAATCTATACCTGTACAGGTTGTCCTCACTTAGCAACTACTTATTCAGTGACAGTGACCATTCAAAGTTACAACAATGCTGAAGAAAGAGACTTATGACCAGTCCTCCAAGTTGTGGCTGTCACAGTGTCCCCATGATCATGTGATTGCAATTCGGGCACTTGGAAACCAGCATACATTTACAGTAGTTGCGGTGTCCCACAGTAATGTGATCACTATTTGTGACCTTCACGGCTGTCTTCCAATAATCAAAGTCAGCAGGGAAGCTGGCAGAAAGTCATGGTCATATGACAACATGCTTAACAATCAGCAGTGATTCATTTAATGACTATAGTCCCATTTAATGACATTGTAAGTTGTTTTACTTTATGACCAAGTCATTTAATGACAGAGTTCCCAGTCCCAATTAAGATCAAAAAGTGAGGACTACTTTTAGTTTGTTATCTGAAAATTGAATATAGGCTTTGCTTTCCAGAAAAGTTTAAAACTCTAGCCTATCAAGATAAATAACACCATACTATAGGGAACTATGGGGAAGTTTATGAATCTTACTTGAAAATAAAGAATATTTAAACCTGTGTCCCAAATTACATGAAAAGAATACATAGTAAGATTAGGTTCAGCTTTACATAATATACTCAGCCCAAATGGTGAGCTACCTGATCGTATTCTGTTGTGAAACTCATCTATTGCGGTTAGTTTAATGGTTTGGTTTTTTCCCCTCTTTTACTAGTTGTGTATAAGATCCTCTTAAAAATAAGAGCACAATGTATTATTTGATAAATCAATCAAATATTTTTAGAAGTAAAAGAGTCATGTTTCTCAAGATGCAATGCAAATTGACTGCTCCTTTGAAAATGGTTGTCTTTGAGGGTTATTTTTTTAGTATTAACTTTACAACAGCTGCATTACATGCTAACAGGATTTACTCATATCACTGTGAAAATGCCCTTATGCCTGATTTTTTTTTTTCTGTTTCAAAGGAGAAGCTTGAATCTTACTCAATTTCTAAAGATTCAGTAATCTCTATTGTGATCTAAACCGGTACGGCTGCAGAAAAGAAAATGCCACCACAAAAAGAGGGAAACAAATGAGAAGACCTAACTAAATAAAAACTCACCTCAAGCAATTGTTGTTTTTATGCACTAAAATGCAGTGTTAGCATATTAACTACCAGAATTCTAATTTATCATGTAAAAATAGAACAGAACAAATTTCCTCAACTCAAGCTATTTTCAAGACCACCGAACTTTGCTACTGTTGGTAACCCATTCTAATCATTTAAATCAACTCAATAAGGTATTTGTAAAACAAAAACAACTTGTGAGGTCCAGGCTCAAATCTATCAGCTGAATAGATCTTGTGCATTTCTTATCCTATATCACCCCTTTCCTCAATTTTCACCCAGTTATGGTATAGATCTGGGTGAATATTCCAGTTTTCTGTCACATAACTATCTAGTTGCTTTCCCTTAAGCTGACAGAATCCCATGACAGCAATTTTGTGTTTAAAACAGGTGTTAAGCTCATTTCTTCAGAGGTGAAATCGGATGACCGGGTGGGATTAGAGAGGAAGTTATCAGCCATTTTTGATTAAGGTGAGCTCACCCCCTTCTTTCTAATCTCACCATTCAGATATCCCTCGAGAAATACCAAGATCAGTGGAGCTGTTTTCATGTTTTCATTACTCACATAACCCTGATCAAGCTACATGCAAATGATTCCCTGCCACAAAGACAAATCTGCTTGTGTAGCACAATAAGACACAAAGAGGTTGCCAATTACATCTTTCACAGAATGAAAGAAACAACCAGCAGCTGGTGCATTAATTGTTCAACAGTACTAGGCTGCTCAGCTGGTAGTACAGTATATGCTTTAATTCTGTGGCCTTACTGGTTTAGTGCAAGATTGGAACAACATAATGGTACAAGCTCTCCCTTACCCATTGCCTCCCAGGCAAAGCATTGATGAATCTGGAAGTCAATATTTGTTGTTTATATAAAGAATGGGAAGAAAAAGGAAATAAACTCTAAATAAAAGTACTGCCAGTAGCTAAGTGATGCTCATGACTCAGTTCAACAATATCAGTCATTGTTGTCTTCAAGAGGGATAGATAAGTAAAATCCATCCAGTAATCCAAAATTCCAATATCATCACCGTAATATGGGGTTGTGTGGAGGGGTAGTGTTTCCTTCAAGCAATATATTGACTTCAGTCCAGAAATTAGAATATGTGAAAATGGGAAAGGAATGTCATTAGTCTTTAACCAGAAGGGGGAAAAAAAGATCTAATACAAAGATCTGTTTATTTCCAGTTTCAGTGAAATGAATAAAAAGTATTTAGAATAGAATAATAGAGTTGGAAGGGACCTTGGAAATCTTCTAGTCCAACCTGGCTCCTGCTCAGGCAGGAAACCCTATACCATTTCAGACAAATGGTTTTATTTATTTATTGGTTCGATTTATATGCCGCCCTTCTCCGGAGACTCAGGGCGGCTTACAATGCGTTAAGCAATAGCCTTCATACTTTTGTATATACCTGCTTAGTAGGGCTTTCAGTGTTCTTTTTTATACAAAGCTTATTGCCCCCACAATCCGGGTCCTCATTTTACCTACCTCAAAAGACTGGAAGGCTGAGTCAACCTTGAGCCTGGTGAGATTTGAACTTGCAGTAATTGCAGGCAGCTGGTTCTACTTAACAGCACTTTAGTCTGCTGCACCACCAAGGCTCTTCAAGGTTGTCCAATCTCTTCTTAAAAACCTCCAAGGTTGCAGCTATGTTGTTCATTTTGATACAAGATGTGACTTTTCTGGATTAAAGACCTCTTTATCAGTAATACCTTTTACTAATGTAATTATATATTACATCACCTATACACCTTGTAAAATAGTATAGATGATAGATTTCATATTCACATCCTATTAAAAGGTAAAGTTCCCCTCAAACATATGCGGTAGTTGTTCCCAACTCTAGGGGGCGGTACTCATCTCCGTTTCAAAGCTGAAGAGCCAGCGCTGTCAGAAGACATCTACATGGTCATGTGGCTGGCATGAGTCAATGCCAAAGGTGCACGGAACGTTGTTACCTTCCCACCAAAGGTGGTCCCTATTTTTCTACTTGCATTTTTATGGGCTTCCGAACTGCTAGGTTGGCAGAAGCTGGGATAAGTAATGGGAGCCCACCCCATTATGCAGCACTAGGGATTCGAACCGCTGAACTGCTGACCTTTCGATCGACAAGCTCAGCATCTTAGCCACTGAGCCACCGCATCCCTCACGTTCTATTAGTATGCTCTTAATTGTTAAAACCATATGCACAACCATATGACAATAGAAAAAAAAAGATGCTGTGCTTGGAAAGCAAACTTATTGTAATGTAACTGAAAAGGTGGAAATCTAATATATAACATCCAGGTCGATACATGTTAGCCTATTGCAGAAAAAGAATGTGTCACCTTTAAAACTAAGGAGTTCTACTGTATTGACAAATATTGTTCATGAACTATATATTGAGTGTGAAGTAATATCTGCATTGAACAGATATATATCTGCATTGAACAGATATATGCCAGTTGAATGATAAAAGGGCCAAACTAATAAGAATAAGGCATGACTTCAAGATAATTTGTATACAGTAAGTCTCTTTCAGATATTGTCTTCCAACACTAGAATACTGGAAACTGAATAAAGGGAGGTTATGATTGGTAGAGCATCAATGTTCTACACACTAATGTCATATATTATACAAATAGAATGAATGTTTATATAAGTCTCAACACAGTTAACAGAGTTAATGTTGGCAACCCAGATTGTGTGAGAAGCTCTATAGGTTGCATGTACACACAATAGTTATCAATTCACCTCTGCTTTGCTAAGATAACTCCAAGATGATTTCATTCCAAGATATGATGCAGTGGATAGACTGCCGGTATATATTTTAGGACCCTCCACCAAATGGAAATGAAAATCTTTCTCAGGTGGTGAATTATCTCTTCATCAAGGTGCTCAAGTTGGACTGCTTCCCACTGAGCTCATATCTGAAAGGAAGATTCATGGTGCCTGCAGGAAGAAGAAAGAGGATGGAAAGAAAGAAAAGATTTCTCAGTTAGTACAACTCTTTAGAGAAAATAATAGCTTTGTTCAAGCCAGATGGGGGGATTTCATGTGCCATTAAATGCCAATCCTCCCTTCTGTCAGAGAGCAAAGCTTCCCAATAATTTTTTTCCCTCCATCTAAACTCTTGGTATACTTCAGATCATAAGTCATTGTCAATTCCATTAGAAAGCAAGAGAAATGGAAGATTACCCCCCCATCTGCTCCCTCCTTTATGAACCTGTTGACAAATTGTCTTTCTAAAACTCCCTCGCTCTAATTTCTGTGACAGAAATATGGATATGTTGGCATTGTATATTAATTCCACAACTATCTTCATGGCTTATGAAAGGCTGCTTTTAATCACACTCACAACACATCTAAGGTTAAAAGTTGCAACTTCTAGCCTGAGATAATTTGTTTCTGCAATTTTCAGCTAGTCCCTCTGTGTTGACTTTTTTTCATCCAAAATAGAAGGGAGGGAAAAATATCCATATGTTCTAAATCAGGAGTTCACAAACTCTGCACTGCCATGATTCCTAACATGATAAATAAATTTCATTAGCACTTTTAATATTTAAAATGTAATCCCAAATTGGTAGCCTTCCAGATGGTGCTGAATTGTAACTCCCAGCAGCTGAGGCTAGCCTGGCTAATGTGGGGGATGCTTGGCACATTGCTTAGCACCATCTGAAGGGCAATGTACCATATTTGAAAGACAGACTTCTATTTCCAAGGAAAACACATTTATTCCCTTGTTGCTTCTGCTTAAACTTCCAAGCCATTTGGTATTGAAGGAAAGTTTAATGACTGTGGGATTTCTCCAGCAGTCTTTTATCAGAAATCCCAGCCACAGTTGTTTCAATTCACTCCTTTTTACCTCCTTATCCCAAGTGAGGCTCTCATCTTGCAAAAAGAACCAGTCTCCTTGGACTATTTCCTTCCACAAAAGAAACCTTTAAACCTCTCTGAAATCCCTTTCACCAAAGACAACTTCTTCCTCACCTCTTCCATTGACCCAGTTTAGGAGAAGACTACTTGGCACAGTATCAGAAGTTGCCTCCTGTATTCATTCTTCTTCATCCTTTTTCAAGAAAAGAGGATTCCCTCTCCTCCATAATGGTTTTTAACCTGCCCCCTCCCAAAGCCCAATGCATGAAGGAGAAAAACCAAAGAGTTTAGTTCTCCTTCTAGTTCTCCTTTACCAAGGAAGAGGTAACAGAAAAGGAGAGACATAAATCTCTGTCGACTCAATCTTCTTATACGTAGGTATTGGAGGTGTGAATCTAACTTATTTATCATCTCATGGTAAATTTGAGTAATACACCATCTATTTAGAGCAAAGTGGCAGGCCCCTTTTTGTCTATCATTCTGCTACTTTGGTGAGCAAGGAAGGTTGGCACCATTGTTTCTGGCTTTCCCAGCTATGGAGACTCTCACAAGTAGAAGAAGCAGGACATGGTGATATTGGTAGCATCAACTACCACCATTTTTTCTCCTACCACCAAACAGACTTTCCCCATTCTGCTGATTGGGAACACAAGCTGAGAATCTGGCTGCCAAGATACTTCTCCAGATGTCCTTCTTGCCATAGCCTAGTGACTTTTTCTACCTTGTCTAATGGAAAACATAGCAGAGAACCCAGAACTCATCTGCCTTCACATTTGGGATCCCTGCTCTCGTAACCTTTCCTCCTACAGAGAGACTTCAAACTTCATTGTAGGAAAAAGTTGAGTGAGGTACTGAGAATGAGTAGGTAAGCATATGAAGCATGGTGATGACACAATGGGTCCAGCATAGCAATGCGATTAAGCTTAACTGTCCAACTATAATTTGTGTGTGCAACCAGTTTCAAATCAGGTTATACTTCCTTTGGAGATCATGAAAACTACTGCTCTAAGTGCACTCTACTAAGCTTCAGATATGACAAGAATCAAATTGCTTCCCATTCCTGCCACTTAAGAAATTCAATTTATCTGTACAGGCATTATTTGCTTGTTTATTATAGTTTCATGAAATGTAAGAGATAAGAATTCTATAAATTCCCCAAAGAAGCAAGCGAAGCGAGAGCAAAGTGAGAGAGCACGCGTGCTTCCGTTGCAAACTGATAGTAAAGGTAAGTAGAACCCACCTCTGTAACATGCCATTAAAAGTTCTTTAGCTCCTAGATAATTTTAAGAAGAATTGGACTATTCATGGATATTAATTATTAAGACTATCTAGAGTCAGTTTCTAAGAACTGGAACCAGAAAACTATTGTTCTTAAATCTACTTCAGAGTTCCTATGAACTTTTGATTGGCCACTGAATGTTCACAGAATGAAGAATCAGAGAGGTCTTTACTGTTTCAGAAGAACATTTTTTTTCTTTAGTGTTATTATAACTACTACAATTTTATGCAGAAACACCACCAGAGAACATTTTATACCATTTATAGCATATGATATCGTGCAATGAATTGTTGGTTTAATCTGCAATTCAGGATACTGTGAAGATTATTATTATGATAGTGCTTCCTAATAACCACAGATTATTGGATTGGAACCTTCTTTTCTTTACTTTCTTTAAAGGAGATGTAATAGGCTTGGACAGATGCAGTCAACATGCATTCTAAAGCTAATTAAATAAAATCCATTTTCTATTCTGATAGATAAATATTTTAAATAGCATAGTCTGATATTTATTTATTTATTTGATTAGAATCACAAAGTTTTTCTTGCCTTTGCTGTATGTTCTGCTTTATGTTGCTTTGCAAATATTTCTTTAGTGTTTTTTAATCATTCTGACTCAATGCAAAAAAAAATATGACATTTTTGATTCCCCCCCCCCCAAAAAAATAGGCTTTCAGTGCAATTATCAGCAGGGGACATGATTCCTACTATTTTCGTCATTCTGAGGTAAAGGGCAGCATCTTCTATCCCCCGCATCCAAATCTATAACTGCCTGAAACAACTCTTGCAGCCAATGTGAAAGACCCCAGTAAACACAGGCCTGTCAGAAATCAAGGTCCATGCCCACCCTGAATTGATGGATCAACAACCTTTCCGGCCAGGCCCTCAACTTGCCAGCAACCCAGCGGAAGTCCTGTACTGGCTGGCCCCTTTGCTTCAGTGCTAGGTCTCCTTCTGCCTGTTGTGCAAGGGATCCATCCTCGAACCAGACTCGAAGCGCCTCCAGGAAAAGACTCATATTTGCCAACTCCCAGGCATGCTCACTGTGCAAGTCTGCCACCCACTCAGCAGCCTCACTTTACAGCACCTCAGTCACAACTACCACCATTGCCCACTGTGAGGGATACAACCAAATGTACTGGTCCAAATGTCTTATGGCTTGGACTTATGGCTCAGGAACAAAGCCACTCGGTCAGGATTCCCATAGAATGTTGCCTGTAATAGCAACGGACCCAACACCACCTGCTGGGGCCAATACCCTGGTGGCCACATGGGGCCCTGAGGAACCCGATCCACCTGGCATGGGTCAACGACTGCAGGAAATGGTTGTGTTGGGCCAGCTGCTGGGACCCTGGGCGCCACCTCTGGCCCTAGCCACCACTGTCCCCCACTTTGGTTGTCCCCTCTGTGGGACATTCCGGTCGTCCTACCAAATCAGCCAGTGGTGAACTCTGCTCCCATAGGCCCTCCTGCATGGCATCATGGGAATGGCTGGAGACAGGTCCAGGCGAAACTTCGGGCTAGCCAGATGAACCTGGCTTTGCAAAGGCAGAGTTGGCTGGGGCCCCACTCTGTGTGGCTGCCACATCACCGCAGATTCGGCTCCCTTCTCCTATGGCTTCCTGGATGGAGCATTCCAAAACCTGGCCTCCCTGAACCGCTCCCACAGTATATCCATGGTGCTACTTCCTGGGGCTGTTGAGTAACTCCACTCCCCCTCATCATCGTCCATCCATCGCCTCTCCCACCACTCGGTCGAAGGAGCCCTGGAATGAGGGGGGTAGGCAACTGCAGCCAAGAAACCTTGTTGAGGGTAAAACTGCCCTCTACAAAGTGGTGCAATGGACCAGGCAGCAAATAGATACATTGCTTAGCAAAACACACAGATACTCACAGACTCTGAACGTTTAAAGAAAAATAAACAGTCTTTACTTGTAGTAAAAAACAAACTTGGCTTCTCAAAACAAAGATAACACTTCTTCAAATAATCACGGTTCACAAAAACATAGTTTGCTTACAATTCCAGTTCTCTTCAGTAACACAGACTCAGTTCCTTTCAGCAGTTCAACCTTCTAATAGCAGGAGCAGAAGTGAATGAACTTCCTGCCTTCTTTTATGTCTGCTTAGCACAGCCAATTAGTCATCTTTGTAGCAGTTAAAGTTACAGAACATAGTTTTCTATATATTACCTACCCAACCGTAGGATAAGCATCCAACAAACCTCAGTCACTGATGAACTATGCCACCACTCCCCTGAAGGCCCTTGGGCCTTGCAGCAGTGGTGGGATTCAGCCGGTTCTCTCCGAATTGGGCAAACTGGCAGCGGCAACTGTGGGAGGCTCCGCCCACCCACCCAGATGTAATGTGTGAGCACTGTGCATGCACAGAAAGCCATGCGCATGTGCAGATGAGGTGCGTGCACTCACATTTGTGAACCAGTAGGGAAGGTAAAGGAATCCCACCACTGCCTTGTGGGCCCTGTTTCCCTTCTATTGGCTGCATCGCTCTATGTGCCTCAACTCCTTCAGCCTCACAACCAGTTGTGTGCTGTCCTCTGAAGCTTCTGGCTTGAGCAACTCTTCCTCCTCAGCAGGCTCCACCTCAGCCACCTCTAGCCCCTTTCCCTTCAGCCATTGCACTGGCTTCCTCTCTGACCAATCCTGAAAGCAGTGGAAGACAATGAGGGGAAAAAGAAAAAAGAAAAGTGCTGACTTTCTCTCAAAGGTCCAGACCCAGACCAGGGAGGATCAAAACAAATACACAGGAAACCGAGCAGTTCAGTAACCCAGACTTTAATCCCCAACAGTAGGCCGGAGCCTTGGTACATGGTGTGTATAATAAACAGTTCTGTGCAAAGTCAGCACTGGGAGTTCTCGCCTCCCAGTGCACTTTATGGTCCTGGGCCACATCCTCTGGCTGGCCTCACATGCCCACTGGTAGCTCAGCATTCGGTTGCCTGTGGCTAACATCCAGTTGCAGTGATGCGGCTGGGCCGGCAACATACTTTAGGGCCCTGTGAATCCCGACTGGAAGTGCGTGCATGGACACAGGGGTAATCAGCTGATGAGTGGCTGTGTGGCACTGCCACCGGAAGTCCCATTGCTGCCATCACCTCCTCGCTCTTCATACCAGGTGCCTGCCCATTGCCTGTTACCCGGTGCCACTTACGTAGACCTGGCCAGGGAAGCGGCCTGCTGACAAGTGGCTGGTTGGCACTGGCACAACATGTCCTGCCGCCATAACCTCGCCCATCATTGTGATCGCTGTCTCTGATGTGTGCTGCTCCACGCCCTTCCCATCCCCACCACCATGGCGAGCCCTGGATCGGGACTCGACACTGATATTTCAGTGTTCAACATCAAAGAAACTTCTACATATACAACACACTGATTCATTTTCACACATAGCAATGGAATTCTCTACATGTCTGTTCAGAAAAATAAGTTTTGCTTATTTAATATGGCTCATTCCCAAGCAAGATTTCAAGTATTTGTATGAAGTTAGCTGAACTTCATTTTGTGGACATTATATGTGCATTATATTTGTCTGTCTATTATCTGTCTATTATCTATCTATCTATCTATCTATCTATCTATCTATCTATCTATCTATCTATCTATCTATCTATCTATCGTCTATTGTCTGTCTATCACTTATCTATATATTTCACTTTCTAGTCTATGCTAGAGCTCAGGCATTTCCTGGTGGGCTTTCATGGAAGCACTAATCAGATCTGATTGACTTAGTTTTTACACAATTATCAAAGGATGGCTAAATAAGTACAATAACATATCATTCCACTTATGATATTTTTTCTCCTAAATGTTCTTCTTGTTTGAAAGAAATGCTGATAGTATTGGAAGAGGATAAACTAGGAAGCAGCCACTCAACAGTGGGCAACTAGAAGGCAGGTTACACTGGTAACTTGTTCAATGAGTAACATTCTTCTCCACAGTGCGGAGATGAATTGGGTTTCTATTTGAATTACACAACTTGTTTATAAAAGTGTACTTATAGATATACATTAGCATATGCTAAATCTGTATAAATTTGGGGTCTCCTTTTTTTTCTTCCTTCAAATGATTAACTGGCTACCTGCCTGTTAATATGGGTAAACATTCTCCTCTGTCAGCTGTTCATATGTTCTGTTTTGAGCTGTTTTCTGCAAAAGTAGTGTAACTTTTGTTGGGGAAAGCTACAAAAGTATACCAAACTTAAACTTGCAAAAGCTGTTTAATAAGTGAGTAACAATGATCTCACAAGATGCTAGAAGCAAGCCAAAATAGGATTAGGGATTTGTGTTATACAGTTGTTTCTTCACATTGTGTGAACCAAGCCATTAGCCTAATCCAGTGATGGCTAACCTTTTTGCCATCGCGTGCCAAAAGTGGAGGGAGAGCACACATGTGCCGACACCCATAATTCTATGTGCCCCGCCCCCCCATGCATGTGTGCGTGACCCTCCATGCTCCCTCCGCTTTTGGCACATGATGGCACAGTTGGCCCGGTAGACATGTTTTTCACTCTCTCCAGGCTCCAGAGC